TAGAACTAGATAGCCAACAGAAAATAGATAGGAATTTTAAGAAGCTAAAAGGAATAGAGATGTAGGGAAATTAAGGTAGCAACGTGAGGAAGTGAGACTTGAGTCTTTTCTTAAAAATAGGAAGTGACTCAGATTGCCGAATAGACATCGGCAAGGCGTTCCATAGACGGATAGCTTGAACAGTGAAAGATCGTGTATAGGAATGTGAGGTGTGAGAAGGAAAATTAAGATGGAGTTTTTTGACGACCGCATTTCGTGACCCAGAGCCGACTGCATAAATTGAAAACGCTCCTTCAAGTATGGTGGAGACTTTGAGTTAAAGAGGATAGAAAAAAGAAGGGATAGGATGTGACAGTCACGCCGACGTCTGATCGGTAACCATTTTAGCTGGGCTCGGTACTCAGAAACATGGTCATACTTTCGCAGGCCGTAGATTATACGAATGCAAAAATTTTAGAGGCGCTCGAGCTTAGCCAAATGGGTTTCGTTAAGGTCAGGATAGCAACAGTCGGCGTAGTCGAGAATAGGAAAGAGTAAAGCTTGAACAAGAGCAATTTTGGTGGGTATGGGTAAAAAGTTTCGCAACCTATTTATTGACGCTGCAGCCGCAAACACCTTCCTGCTGACCTCCCCAATCTGGGTTGTCCATGTGAGAGCACTATCGATGTGAATGCCGAGGTTCTTCACGACTTTGCTAAAAGGTATCTGGACACCGTCAAACATGATGGGTGGAAGGGCACTCCAGTTAATCTGGGAAATCTGCCTGGAACCACCCAACACGATAACCTGCGTTTTGGTGGGATATGCAATGGAAGCCCCCCTGAGCGTCTATCCTGTAGGCACTTGCCTCCACCTCCTTAGCAATGTGCATACTTAGGGGCGTTAGGCACAGTAGTGCGTTCAGGGGTGGTGCACTAGGCCTTAATTTATGTTTTAATTATTAAATCTGTGTTTAAATTAAGTGCATTTAAATCCTAGCCTTTTGAGATACAGTGATTTATTTTCTTGTATGAACTTTGTCTTGATAGTTGTATAAATAAATAAAAGTAATAGTACTAATTGAGTCTAGTGACTGCTCTATAATTTTCCAAAAAGCAAAACTCTTGAGCGTCAGATAAGTTAGTTGTACACCATGTAAAATTATTACATGCTTACAGAGATTTTGGCATGTAGCCCCGTATTAATAAGTTAGCAGCATAAGCCAGACTTTATTGCTGGCCGCGACGCCGCCATTTTCACAACGTCATATTTAGTGATGGGCCTTTACGTTAAGAGATGTCGAGGTTTTAAGAGAAGTTTTTCGTCAAGGCTTACATCGCTCCACCTTCTTGACACTTCTTTAATATGTCGTCAAACTGCAATAATTACAACCATGTTAACCTTATTTTCCGGTCAAGTAAATCAGCTGCAAATTATATTGCTAAAATCCTTATTTCATCACTTTATTTTCACGTTCAACATTTCAAATTGATAACAGCCTAAGGGCTGGAAACTGGGTGGTGGCAAAATTTTTTTTATAATTTCAATTCATAGGAATATCTAAATTAAAATTATATCATCATCATCATTTCAGTTATAGAACGTTCACTCTTAAGTCGGACGTCGTCTGATACATGCCGCTACCAACCAATATGAAAATCATTGAGGAACTCGTTTAAAAGCATTTTTACAAGAAACATTTTTACTGCTACTACTACCACTACACAAGGAAAAGCTACAAGAACTTCATCTTCCCAAGTTTTATCGATATCGATACCTAACCGTGTCCCACCACTACGCGCTGAGTGTCGGCGCGTGCCCGCACATACAAACGACTTCATTAGGCGTCAGCGCAGCGCCTCTGCAGCGATATACGACATCCGCGAAAATTTGATGAAAATTACTTTTTTGCTCAAATAATTACGCAAGATGAAGCATGTGGTAGACCGAGGACTTCTAAGGATAGGTCTACTGAAGATAAACGAATAGAGGAGCTGTTCAGAATGGAAAATGTGTCATTTCAAATTTTGCTCCCTGGGCAAGTTGCAATTATTGTGATTGTAAAAAATACTATACCTTCATAACAACTGGATGTTTTGCTTGTCTACTGGCATATACTTTTTTCAAGGAATAGGGACCACGTGATCCCAAATCTACCTACCTTTATGTTTATAAGTGCCACTAGTGGTCAAAATTGAATAAATATTTTTGATTTTGATTTTTTTTATTTTACCAGGATGGGAAGTGTAGGCCAAATTCTCCACTCGCCAGAGGGTTCCGAAGTGGACTCCAAAGACCTAATGATGATGATCCATATGCCCAGGGTCTCCAGGCAAAAGTGTGGCCAGGCAATTCTGTGTGACATAGCGCAAATTGAGAATCAGGAACCGGTTCCTTATTCTCAAGGCATAAACACGAAGAAACTGATAAGCAGTTTGTCACGCTGGAAAATGAGGTAAGTATCTTATGAAATGGCAATGCCAGATTTTGTATGGAAAGTGGCGTCTTTTTTTTTTCGCGCGGCCATCGACCAAACTTTGTTTTTTGATTACAAAATAGTGTAATAAACCAAACTTACTATGACATGTATACCTCTAAACTCAGTCTGAACTGAGTTACGAGCATTAGAAGTTTGATGATTTTCATACTAGATTTGCTTTTTGTACGCAAGTTTTGTAAGAAATTGCAACAAAATATTGCGCTATTTTTTTATTGCGCTGATTCTGCTCCACACTGATGTCTGGAGCCTTTAATGGATGATATTGTTTGTTTACACATATAATCTCACTATTTTGTTGCAATTTCTTACAAAACTTTGCGCGCAAAAAGCAAATCTAGTATGAAAATCATCAAACTTCTAATGCTCGTAACTCAGTTCAGACTGAGTTTAGATGTATACATGTCATAGTAAGTTTGGTTTATTACACTATTTTGTAATCAAAAAACAAAGTTTGGTCGATGGCCGCGCGAAAAAAAAAAGACGCCAATTTCCGGCATTGTCTTTTTACTAGAAGCTACTTTTACAACAACACGCAAATGCATTTTCTTCACTCAAATACCTAGTATTTATCCATAAATCTTTCTGCGTCTAAGAAAAACCTACATGTTTTCTTAATAGCAGGTGTAAAGATAATAAATGACGTCAAAGCGTTGTTTTTGTTAATAATTTCGCATATTTGATAGCGAATCGCGCAATCTCTCTTGTGCGTTGCATTTTAAAATATTTTAGCAGTGATATCAAGATTGCTGATAAACTGGCATTGGTGACGGCATTGAGAACTGATAGAGAAATTATCTGTCCTATATATACCTACATATTTTAGCGACCGACGACGGTCCACTAAAAATTGCCTAACTACATATTATATGTAGCTGTTTTGGGGCTTTGACTTTTACAAGTTTTCTTTGCAAAATAGTAAAACCATTTTAATGCGTTCGTCTCTTCCCGTGGATATCGCAAAAGGCTAGAAGATTAAAGCTTCAACCACACCAACGCGTGCAGACCGCCATCGCTGGCGCGATCACAGTGCGATCATAGGAAAATGTCAGGTCGGCGGACTGACGTGGGTCGCGCGACCTCTCATTAAATAAATAAATAAATAATAAATAAATAAATAAATAAATTCTTTATTAAATAACTTATTTGACAGTTTAAACTTTAGGCTAATCTTATGCTATAAAAGGTAAAATTATACATGTGCCTGAACTAGGAAATGTTTTCCTGTATCTCAGGCGAAATAAAGGCTTAACGATACTTTATTTAACTATCATTAGCAAAATACATGTTATACATAAACAAACCACTTACATACAAATTATGCTTATACTAAAAATTAAAATCTATACACATTAAGCAAAATCTAAGAATTAAAATCAGTTATTATGGTTACATTGTGCTACTTAATATTGCTTACTTAGCGTTTTCTATTACATACGGCACGCGTTGGTGTGTTTGAAGCTTAAGACATTCAACTGTCAAATGTTTTAGCAAATAAACTACATTACCCAGATGTCGTGTTTCACTATGTCTCCCGTTCTACACTTTTACACCTCTCTCCAACGTACAGAGCAACTCATGCTGGCATCTTGTATAGCATGAGAGGGAAGAAGTTTTTACTAACCACACGCCCTATGTTGCACGCTTTTTTGCCGGGTTGGTATAAATCCTTTTATCCACGAAGATGCGCCCCACCATTCGTCCGCTAATGTTTGTGTGTCATCGGTACACGTTAAATTATCCATGAGTGTGCACGCACACTACAATAATGACGCTCGGATTGCTCGGATCAAATTTCCCGCACCCCGCGCTTCCCTCGACCAAGAATTGGTGGGGCGCGTCTTCATGGATGAAACGATCTATACTACGAACAAACCGACATGAAATAACGATAAACCGTCACTGGCAAATGGCGCATAATCCACGTCGTGCGTTAGTACCCGCTGAAAACCAGCTTCGTGACTTGACGACTTATTATGTCATATTTTAAACTATTATGTTGCATTTTTACTATACAATTATCTCTTCAGTCTGCCCGCGACCATGACTCGTGCAACCGAGTTGAAGCGTCGGGAGGGTAATCAGTGCGCTTACCATGAGTTTACTTTAGGTGTGCTCGCTAGGGACTGCGTAAAAAAATGACATTAATTGTATGACATATTGTGCAGCGCCCCTAGTGGCTACTTTCAACTTTACTCATGGTAGGTACACTGTTTACTGTTATAAAAGTGTCTTTGTTGCAATAAATCCCGTGACAATGATGACTTGTGTCATGTCACGATTTTTGCTGAGCATGCCTCAATTCTTCGGATAACAACTTTCTCTCTCATCTACACTCTACAACGCGGCCAATAAAAACGCATCATCATCATCATTTCAGCCATAGGACGTCCACTGCTGAACAGAGGCCTGCATCTAACGCCTTCCCACTACCTTTAAGAGGTCGTCGGTCCACCTTGTAGGTGGACGTCCTACGCTGCATATAAAACGCATAATGACAATTATTATAATAATGATTCCTTACCTGGCACTATCTCCGAAACGCCATTGCCGGTGCTGGCGGAGTCGTGCGCTCGCGCACCTCTTCACATCATACACGGGTCCACCTGCAGACAAAAGTCTATTTTAATACAAAGCAACAAGGTACCTTTCACGATGCAGCACACTTTCGTTGTGAAACCCTTTCAATAAACAACACTGCATTAACGACCCGGATCGAGCTAACTGCTCACCTCGCTGGATTGCGACTCTCCCAGAGGGTCGATGTGACGTCACGGCCACCAAGTACGCAGTTAACTCAACCGGGTTCTAATGAGAAAGAAGATTCATTTATGTGTTTGTATTAAAATGCATCATCATCATCATTTCGTCCAAATTACCTCAATGCCTGAAGACTAGAGTGTATAACCAATGTGTGTTACCAGTGATAACTTATGGCTCGGAAACGTAGCCTCTCACTATAGGCCTTATACAGAAACTCAAAGTCGCACAGCGTGCTATGGAGAGGGCTATGCTTGGTGTTTCTTTGCGAGATCGAATCAGAAATGAGGAGATCCGTAAACGAACCAAAGTCGCTGACATAGCCCGACGTATTAGCAAGCTGAAGTGGCAATGGGCAGGGCACATAGTACGCAGAACTGACGGCCGATGGGGCAGAAAGGTTCTGGAATGGAGGCCGCGTACCGGAAAACGCAGCGTGGGACGTCCACCTACAAGGTGGACCGACGACATCGTAAAGGTAGCAGGGAAGCGCTGGACGCAGGCCGCTACCAATCGATCAACATGGAAAGCATTGGGGGAGGCCTATGTTCAGCAGTGGACGTCCTGTGGCTGAAATGATGATGATTAAAATGCAACTTAGCAACAAAAATATGTTGTCTCTAGACTCTACATAAACAGACAACATGTATGCTGTGTTCATGGCCACGAAAAAACCAATTAGTTACTTCAAAAAACAACTGCAGTACCCGTGATTGCTTTTAATAATTTCTTAAGCCAGTATTAGATTCTTAATTGAAAAGCTGGAAACAATTTATCAATAAGAATCAAAACAAAGGGGCCTATTCGGCACTCCACGGTGATCGTTCGAGTCAAGCACCACTCGACACGAGGGCCATACACTCGCGAATGCTCGCGTTTTTGCCGCTGTGACAGATGAGATGACCTGTTAGGACCCCACCGTTTTGGGATGACATTTATATAGTCTAATTGGCTAATTAGCCAGTGTTTTGTAAAGATGATCATGAAAATAATTCATTTTCTTGATGACATCTTCAAGGTAGTCCGAGTGTCTCGGTAGACGTATACAGAAAAAAATCTAGCTCTACATTTTGGAATTTCCATATTCTAAAGAAGTAAGGCCGTGAACCTCACTTCTCTTGCAAACTAAGTATCACTATACAGAATAACTTTTGTTACACTTTTATAATGTTCACAAAGAAAACTTGTATGTCCCTGACTCTATCTATGAAATATCTCTCTCTATTTTTGTGCTTAGTTATGATTGTCATTATCCAATTTTTTATTTAACTATCTTATCAGCAACTTTTTTGAGGTATAGGTACTCCAGATTTTTGTTAGACACAAAATCAATGCATGCAAAACCGTAGGCCAAAGTTAGTTTGCAATATCGCTAATAATGTTCTGCCTTACAATACATACGGGTATATAATATACGGGTACTTCTCATTTACACTCAAATTTGATGGTCACACAATAATAGTTCATAAACGGTATAAGTTAGAACAATACCTTTGAAATCAGATGATTAAATATCTATTTAGCTACATACAAAATAAATTTTATCGTAATAGAAGCAAAACGGGTGGGACAATTCAGTGTATTTGATCTTTAAGAAGGTTTGTACTGACAGATGACAAAACTAAAATGATTGAATGCACAGATATGGATTAGAGTAGATACAGCAAGTTGATCGTCAAAGCGTGCCATTCCGATATGTCCAAATGGACATACATGGTCGAGTGATGTTCATGTAATCCGATTATAACAATCGGTTACGATGATTTTACGAGGACAGTAGTACGAACACGGTAGAAAGAAGAAATGATTTACGGATTGAGAATTGTAATTAACAGTAAGAAATAATAAATTAGAATAAAGTAGCAGTAGAAGAAATATAAAGTAGCATTGTTTTTAATACATATCCTGCGATGTACTCTTAAGAATTAAAACCATGGTCCCTGTATGTGGTGCACTCATACCGATCTCCAGGAACCGTACTTACTCATAACATTATGACACACACTGATCCGTGTATTCATACACCAGACAAGTTTTTGTATTGAAACGCTGGTAGGGTGAAAAAAATAATGAGATTTGACGATTTGTAAGAATTAATTTATTTAAAGAGGAAATATAAAGATGTTTTTGGTTTTGTATCTGGCCTCCGGGAAACCCCTAGTGCCAGACTTTTTCAAATAGACAGAGTAGAGGCATCTGCCTAAGGAAGTTCTACTATAATTTTGCCATTACCTTTTTTATAAAATGACGGCAGAAGAACAATTTTATTCAAACCTTTCGATTTGTTTTGATTATTTTATAGGGCTCGTCTAAAGCACAATACTATTCATTGCACTTATATAATTATGAAGAAAAATCTTTTGTTTCATTTTCACTTCGAAAGTTTTTTACCACATTAGAAATCTCTTCAAAACTAGGTACCTGACTTAGCTTTATGAAACAAAACGTATTGGCAAAATTACGCATTTTTACATTTATTAAAAATAAAAAGCTTGAATAGTCTTTATTTTATGAAACTAGGTCAGGCACTTACTAGGATATTTAAAAGTATGGAATTAAGTAAGAATTACTAGTAGTACTATTTAACATAATGGAATACTATCATTACTTTCATAAACATTAGGCACAACAAAAACATTATTTGCAAATTAACAATGTAGAATAACGTCTACCGCTACAAAATTATTTTAATCCACAGTCAGACTAGCTATAAATTTAAGAAAATATCAGTTTTATCTTAATTAATTAATTTTCGAATCGAGTCACACGAAATCTTTCGATGACTTTGCGAATGCAATACGATGATACGATTACTTTTACGTTGCGGCAATCACTAAAATTCGCTAAAATGACACTAATGACGTTTAAAAAGTGGCACGCTCGGCTTCATACAATTTTTGACACATGCTGCATCTATCCCACAGATATGGATTAGAGTAGATACAGCAAGTTGATCGTCAAAGCGTGCCATTCCGATATGTCCAAATGGACATACATGGTCGAGTGATGTTCATGTAATCCGATTACAACAATCGGTTACGATGATTTTACGAGGACAGTAGTACGAACACGGTAGAAAGAAGAAAAATTATTTACGGATTGAGAATTGTAATTAAAAGCACAAGTAACAAATAATTAATTAGAATAAAGTAGCAGTAGAAGAAGTATAAAGTAGCATTGTTTTTAATACATATCCTGCGATGTACTCTTAAGACTTAAAACCATGGTCCCAGAGCCCCGATTACGGTAACTTTTAACGTCTACAATCCAGACACGCTTCATCGATTCTGCGATACGATTGGTCAAAACAGCTGACGTACGCTGTTGAACGACCAATAGTATCGCAGAATCGAGAAGCGTGTCTGGATTGTAGACGTTAAAAATTACCGTAATCGGGGCTCTGTATGTGGTGCACTCATACCGATCCCAAGGAACCGTACTTACTCATAACAATAAAACACACACTGATGCATGTATTCATGCACTTGACAAATTTATGTCTTGAAACGCTGGTAGAGTAAAAAAATAACGAGATTTGACGATTTGTAAGAATTAATTTATTTTAAAAATACCGTCGCTTGCTTGAACAATATTTTCTACCTCTAAAATTTAAACAATTTAATTGAAACTTTGCCATTGAAAACTTAACATGTTAGACTTATTTGTGTAGTATTCGACTTGAACCGTTAAATTCAAATTTAAGGATAATTCATAAAAAACTAAAATTTTCGTCACCTTCGTGGCATCACCTTCGTGGTGTTTTATACACGAAGGTGATTTTAGGCCACGAAAGTGATTTCTTGCTTTGGTTTATTTTAAAATATAGTGACTGGTGTTTATGTTTTTACAATATTTTAATAATAATAATAATAAAACCGAAGACCATAGGGACTTCGAGTAAAAATAAAGAAAACATAAATAATAATAATATCATTTATTTCAGATAAACAGTATCCATATGGGTTAGTAACAATTTTTGCTTAACTAATTAATGGTTAGTAAAAAATATTTCAAACAAAATTAAATTAAAATTAAAATTCAAATGGGCATCAAACAATCAAAATTAAATAATAATCAATTGAGATCAACAAAGCAGGCAGGTTCATAACTAATAAATTATACGTGGTAAAGTAGAGATCAGTACATCAATTAATAAATAAGGGCCTCGTATTTTTGTTGTCTGTCTGTATGACTGTATGTATGTCTGTATATGTGACTGTGTATCTGTTTGTAAGATAAATTTAATCTGAAGTTTGAGTTAAAAGTTGTACAACAAAAATACGAGGCCCTCTGGCCTAAATAAAAAAAATATTTTTGTTGAGGGACTGATAATCAGTAAGAATTCTTTTTTATTGAGGTACTGATAATCCGTTTTTTGCTTCTTTAGCATTTCAGAATGCCACCAGTGTCACCCTTAAAACCAATTGCGTAGAATCTTGTAACTTAGTAGGTGACCTAATCGGTAAAATTTTATCTTGTATTTAAGTAGGTACCTATTTATATTATGTTATTGCTATTTATCTATGAATATAAGACAAAATATATGTTTTATAAACACTTAAGAGACATTTACAGTAGTAAAGTTTGAAAAAATTATTGCTGTGAAGTACAGAATCACTTTCGTGGCATCTAAAAATTCAAAACTTTAAATCTTCCAAACGAGACTCACTATTTGACTGATTTACTGAGAATACAATCTTCACATCAAGCGCTACAATTTTTGTTGCAAAAAGTTGAAATAAGTTAGAAATAAAATTCGCCACGAAGGTGACGATGAGAACCGTGGCGATGAGAAATACTCATACAATGTATGTTAAACCAGCTGCTCCGTTGTTTCGAACTAATC